TGATTACAGCATCAGAGCAGGAAGCGTAAAGGTGTAAGTAGATCAGTAGAATAACTATTATATAATGAGTGTCGGGCGCATATGAAGTGAGCTTTAATCATAGCAGCGCAGTGAGGATTAGGTCAACGGGATTTTTTTTGTTTTGTTTTTTTGGTGATATCACTATGACGTGAGTAACCTGAGGTCAGAGTTCAAAATTGAAGCAACACAAAGATTTACCACTAGAGGCACTCATTTAAAGCTACATACTTGTTTCTCTGAACATTAAAGTTAGCTGTATTTTAACAATAAGTAGCCCATTTGTTAAAGCAACTTGACACATGACACATTCCGTACCATTTCGCTAGCTTGCATTAGGCTAATTACTGTTTGACTTGTTAGCCGTTAGCAAGCAAATTAGGCAGAAACAAACAATAAATCCAAGTAAGTTAACCTTTTCCAAATTTATGTTTACTGTTAATTTGGGGGAGACACAAGTCAACGGTTGCTAGGCTGGTTGTTGGTAGCTGTTGGTAGCACATGTGGTGGCGTGTAAGATTCCTGACAAATAGATTGTCTTTTATTTAATAATTAGCCTGGAACTAATTGTTTGGTTCGGTAAAAGTTTAGTAAAGTTGAAGTTTTTACATTTTAGACAGACTAACTAAAACTTAAACAAATGCTGTGACTAGTATTCAGAAAAGTCACAGACACAGCATCTTCAGACACTTCAGGAGACTTCCTGCTTTGCTCAGCTGCACGCGCCACCACGACTGGCAGTCACGCTCGCAGCAGTCACAACAGTAATAATGAATCTGCTTACATTTCTAATTAAAAAAACATTCCCTAATAGAATTGTGGTCTGTGTTCCACAAATTCTGCTGGGAACACTTTGCACTGAGGCGAGGAGAGGGATTTGGATTGGGCTCATCACAGACTCGCACCCGGGGCCAAGGAAAAGGCAGCGGATAAATACGTAAATAGCCTGGAAAGAATTCCTACGCTTATGCACATGTACACGAGCTTGTCAGAGCACAGTCGCCTATGTCCAGGTGGTAAAGAAGACACTCTTCTTTATATATCGGAGTTCGTCAAAGCACTAACGGATGCATTACCGCCACCATGTGGTCGAACTCGTCAAAGCACTAACGGAAGCATTACCGCCACCATGTGGTCGAATGTTAAACTTTAACTGAGCTTCGTCATTATATCAATTAAAGACACTAGAGGGCAGTGTCTTCAGTTAATAACCTCAGTAGTCTCGTGGTCCTCTAGGTGGTGCTGGCGGCCCAAGAGTGGGTCGCGGTCCTATGTTTAAGAATCTGTGCTGTAGACTCCTGCAGAACCTTCAAGTCTCACAGACCATTTTTAACTATGTCAACGTTAAACAAAATAAAGGTTTGTCTAATTATCAACTATTTTGTTAGCCATCTATCTAGCTATCCCGGAACTATTCAAGTTGACTTTTTGTTATAGTCTGGCTAATTTAAAGCTAGCCCAGATTTTGTTAATCCCAGCCTATTTTCAGTTTGACTACATTTTAGCATTGTTTTTTATTTTTGATTGTTTTACAAACAATGAGCTATTTGCATGTTCATTAACTTCAATCTTCTGCCACTTAGCTATTCTCTGGCTAACATCTAGCCATGGAGTCATAATCGTCCACAAATATCCTGTAGTATTTGATTAACAGCTAGAAAATGAGCTACAGATTTATTGAAAATGAGTCATAAGCTAAACTACGCATGCGACTTTGAGGCAATAGTCTGAAAGAGAGCAGAAAGGAGTGGAAGTGGGGGAGAGCGAGTGAGAGAGAGCGAGCTAAAAGGCAATCCAGAGTCTGTATTAATTATGCTAATGATTTGGATTTGCTCCTTCATTAACCACCATTTTGAGCTCCCTGATCACAAGAGAAGCTCTGAATAAAGTCTCCGTGGAAACCGTAATGAAAAAAAAAAACCAGATGAGGTTTGTGCGAGTATTCATGTATGTGTGTGTTGTCTGTGTGTGCATGTATGCTGGCATGCAAGTGCTAATTACTGTATCAGATAATTAGTGGCAGAGACAGTAAGCAATCAATTAGATTCTAATCTTTAAATAGCTCTAAGGGGGTGGCGCCCCCTGTGTGTCTCTGATCCACAAATCAACGTTTGTGTTGTAAATGACTTTCTTGTGCTGTCTTTTTTATTTCATAATTTTTTTTAACCATTTCAATAAAAGCCAATTGTTGCGTCTGTATCTGGGAGAGAACTTCTGGCAGAACGAGGGGATCATTTCTCTGCAGTTTTCTTCGCCGGACAGCAGGTGGGAGCAGTGTTCAACTCAAGTTATGACTTGCGTTTTCAGCCCTACTGTCTCTTCTCTGAATGTGATCTGATGAAACCAGTGTGCACTTCACCCAGTTCCATATAAAATGTGGAATTTTATATCTCAAAGGTGAACACGATACTACACTGAAGTCCATGTAGGACTGAAGCCTTGAACGTCAACGAGAAACTGAGGAGAACGTTCACACACTGCCCTGAATGAGGAGTTGTACGGGATCAGTTTGCCTTCGTCATCTGCATAAACTAAAACCTTCAGGACGATTCACTGGCTCCACTACGATCGTCACAGTCGTCAGTTTCCTCAACATGTTTGTGTTAAAAGCAATTTAAACAGAATCCCCTGCCGACAGTCGGAGGACGGAGGCAGGAAGATGAAGCCGTGACATCGGAGCTTAGTCATTTTCTTCTTGATGGTTGCCCACGCTGCAATAATTGATTTGTCTTTGTTCTGTGTACAAACATGAGGAGTGGTCTGGAGAGGCACGTGTCAGACTGATTAACTAAACCAAGGAGAAGAAGCAGCAGAGAGCCAACGTCTCTGAAGACTCTGGACTTCTTCAGTCCAAGTCTTCCCTCTGGATGCATTGGGAAGGTGATGCAACTGTTCACCGCCAACGCAACACTTCGACTGTTAGTCTTCTATGACTACGATTTCTTGCACTCCTTTCGAACGCTGCAGAATTTCAGCAGACCCATATGACGTAGACCATCCTTTATAATGTGGGAAGATTTCGTCCTCAAAAAGGCGTCCATCGGTAGAGAGACGTTCTTTGTTCGCATCAAATAAAACAGAAATTGTACCTATTTTCAGGACAGTATCCTCCGTGTTTGAACCAGGTCAAGGTGGTTTTGAGCCTCAAAATAAATGCTGAGTCATTGCTCTGACCGCAGTGTGGGGGCTAAAGGACAGACCTGTCCAACCCGATGAATTCAAATCCACCAAGGGACGGGGGCTAAAGGACAGACCCGTCCAACCCGATGAATTCAAATCCACCAAAAGTTACTTTTTACTGCCGTCGTTTTTGGCTGCCCATCAAATACGCTTCTTTAAAAGTCAGGATACTTTTTGTAATCCACAGTCCTAAGATATTTATTAAGATTTTACCAAGGAAAGTCCTGCCAGCACCAAAACGGTCAATTTTTAAACACATCTCAGAACAAGCTATTTTCTAGTTTCCAAAGCTAAAAGTCAGACCAAGAAGGGACGCTATCGCTAGGTCAATATTTTATAATGGAATAAAATGTGAAATAATGTAGGGACTTGTCGTGAAATAGGGAAGTGCAGTTATCCATGTGTCATTTAATCACCCCTGCTACTCTCTGCTGCAGTAAAAAAAAAAAAAAAAAAAAGAGAGAGAAAAGTTCAACTGTCAAACTGAAACAAGACATCAGAACATTCTCAGGCTTAAAATAAAAGTGTCAGCACACTGATGCTATAATAAACTGATAAACGGGAGAGCGAGGCCTCCATCGCTCTCCCTCTGTGCCTGAACCTCTGTCCTCGCTCCAAGGAAGGTTGGGGAGTAGATAGGAAGTTAGGAACACTGAGAGAATCTAATGATAGTCAAGAGACTCAAACTGCCAGAATAGGAAGAAGGAACGTCACGACTGATGCTGAATCCGCCCTTTAACTGGCAACCGTTTTGACAGGTCAGGTTAGGAAAAGCAGGAATAAAAATAATGTAAGAGTTCCATTTAGCCTCGGCAGCTACAGGGGTCGTCCTTTTTGACGTAGCTATAGTAACACACAATTAGAATTTATCAGAGTAGTGGAAAAGTTTCAGAGACATTTTTTATTTCTGTTTTTAACAGAGTTTTTCTCACAACAAATTCAGCAAAAGCTCCCACCCGCCCCCCCCCCATCACAATCAGGTCATTCTGAAACCAAACCGAGGATGGACCATGAGCGTCTTATAGCATCAAAGCAAAGGGAGTATCTGACATGCAGAGATACACACAGGGAGGGCTTCGTTAATCAAACTCAAGGCAAAGGGAAACTGTATTGCCCCAACCGTCTAGTTTCAACTCTGACCCCGACTTATACCCCTCGTTAAGAGCCACTGGAGCCCGTCGATTACAAAACACACAAAAGCCCAACTTAACACTCAAGAGGAATCTGAAATCTCACTCATAGAGGTGACATAAGTACATGTCTTAAAAATTCCTTATCCAATTTTTTTGTCAAAAAATGGGAGAATCATTAACAGATTTGAAAATAGCAACATTCAAGTCTTTAAAGTTAGCCAGCATGGTGATTGGTCAAAGTATACAGACTTTTTCTTAATGTATTACCAACATTAAATGTTTCCAAAGAAAGAAAAAAAACCATCAGATATGCAAGTTACATAAGAGCAAGGTAGAAGCTGAAAGTCCGACCTCCGCAGCAGCGTGTTAATATGAGACTGAACGAAGCGTTTGGTTCTAGTACGAAGAAAACAAGGTGGAGACGGCGGCCAAACGATAAGAAAGGCTGACTTAATTACACTATAAAACCTTTCTTTTAAATATTTATACGCAGACGAGTACAGTGAAATTACTGTTCAAATCCAGACCAGACGATACTTATCCTGAAGTCGTAAAAATATTAACACGCTATTGGTTTTTATTACCGTTTGATTACAGATTTAAAGAGAGATGTGCATTGAAGTGCTAAGCTCTGCAATAACATTAGAGAGTTTGAGATCAAGTCTGCAGTATTTCCTTTTTTTTTTTTTTTTTTTTTAATAGTATTCACGTACAAGAGTGTTCCCTTAGTGAATGGTGCCTAAGGGAGTCATGAGTGTTCTTGTGTTTATTGACTACAAATGGAGGCCAAAGAAACAAAGTTAATAATAATAAAAAAAAGTTTAGTGAAAAGAAACCAGGTAAGAAGAAAAAAAAAACCACCAGACAACGCGGCTCTCCTACAGACGGACAAAAGCAGTGTTGGGACAGAGGTCGATGATGGTGGGAGGGGATAAGTCCGTCTTCTGTCAGGGGGAACCACTGCGTCCATCTGTGTGTCAGCCCACCCACCTGTCCAGCCACCCTGCGCTCAACGGCGTCTCACTTGAGCAGAGCCTTAATAGCCTCGTTCTCGCTGACTTCAAAGGCACATAAGCCGTGCGGTCCTTTATAGGTTTTGTCGGCTCCCTGTAGTGGAGAGAGAGAGAGAGAGAGAGAGAGAGAGAGAGGACATGAATATTAAATGAGCTTGGAAGGTGCATCGAGACCTGCCTCACATCTGGCAGGGGGGTTAAAGTGAGAGGCAGGAACATTTGTGGAGGAGGCAACTGTGTCCCATTTGCAACCACAAACTGCCAGATAGAAAAAAAAAAAAAGAATTGTCAACCAAAACAGGTAGAAGCTCCTGCTTTTGTCACGGCTGCTCAGGGACAATGCCTTCTGTCAGGTCGGGCTTTTCTGAGTTACTTTCATGCAAAGTTCTTGCCAAACTTGTCATGTGAAAAGTGCCATCAAAATGATAACTTAACTTTTCTATGACCATGCGTGGTCTCCTTTGTAAGTAACCTTGTTTTTGACAGCACAGCAGTCAAATTGTGATTACAATCTTTCCCCCCGCCCTAAGTGAACCTTGGCCAAGAAAAGCAGCAGACACAGACAAACAGGGTGTCCATAGTGTACTTGTATATGCAGGAAGTTTGACAACTATTGCATTAAAATAAAAAAAACATTAACCGCTGTTCAAGTCAAATATTTTGCATTTATTACAAAAATCAGGTAGGACTAAAACCCAGACACTGTAATAAAAATGTCACGGAAACTTCAATTTGTCGCACGTATTTAATGTGTACATTTTTTTAAGTACTTTATTGCAACACAGGATGCATTTTTTTTAAGTACTTTATAGCAACACAGGATGCATGCCTTCATTAAAGGAGAACTTTTTCTATAAATGTACTTTGTAGTGAGATGACTAAGAAAGTCCTAGTGTCTAAGAATGGGGGTTAACAGTTTCTGTAATTTTCCAGGTTGGGAAACGTTATCTCCAGGTGTCTTCTACAAACCGTGTGACCAATAATTTCAAATGTTTTCTCTAGCTACATGGTTTCTGCAGTTCCATTCATCCATCATCAACTGCTTATCTGGGGTCGCGGGGCTAACAGTCGGAGCAGGGACGCCCAGGCTTCCCTCTCCCCAGACACTTTTTCCAGCTCTTCCGGGGGGATTCCGCGGCGTCCGGGCGCATACGGGGACGGCACCCGAGCACCTCCCGAGGGAGGCGCCCGGGGGGCATGCGATGTAAATGCCCAAGCCACCTCAGCTGACTCCTCTCGATGAGGAGGAGCAGCGGCTCTACTTGACAGAGCTCCTCACCCTGTCTCTAAGGGAGCGCTCTGCCACCCTGTGGAGAAAGCTCATTTCAGCCGCTTGTATCCTGGATCTCGTTTTTTTCGGTCACGACCCAGAGCTCATGACCATAGGTGAGGATATGAACGTAGATCGACCGGTAAATCGAGAGCTTTGCCTTTCGGCTCAGCTTCTTCTTCACCAGAACGGACCAATACAGCGACCACATTACTGCAGCCGCTGCACCGATCCGCCTGTCAATCTCATGTTCCATCCTACCCTCACTCGTGAACCCAAAATACTTAAACTCCTCCACCTGAATATTTGAACCACAACCTTAACGTGGTGGAGGGGTTCAACTATCCGAATGAACCTAGGAGCTATGTTGTCAGGGGCTTAATGCCCCAGTAGGGTCTCCCAAGGCAAACAGGTCCTAGGCAACGGATCAGTTGACCCAGCAAAACAACAAATGATGGCTTCATCAACAGCTTGTTTTTATTTGGAACATAACCATTGAGGTATTATTGTACATTATGAACAGCAAGGGCCCTGAAACAATGCCCTGCGGTACGCCAGACTGAACTGTCAATGTATCAGTCAAATATTCGAGGGACCACAGAAAAGTTCTAATGAGATCTTAAATTAAACAAGATGACGTGACCCACAGAACAAACTTGCCTTTGGTTAACTCTGGGTGACGCATGAGTTCAGTCTCCTCAGGTCAGATTCTTTTTTGGAATTAAGGTACACAGAGAGTACTTCTTGTGTGTTTGTTTGTTACCAAATTAGAAATTATATTACGTATTTTTGGAAGTTCTGCAAAACCTTTGGTGACCTCACTCTTCAGAGAGACTCTTGTCGGAGTATAATGCCGGTGCTGTTTTACACTAAACAGTAGCTTAGTGTTACTAAAAGAGGCTCTTTGAATCTTTCCGTCACCTTTACTTGACTGAAGTTCAGACCCTAAACACTTGAGTCCCACTGTCTTTTTTTCTCTCCCAAAAAAAGAAAAAGAAAAAAAAAGTAAGAGGTGCCTGAGCCCAAATCCACTGAGCTCTGATGGATAAGAGAAAAAGAACTTTAAGGAGATTGGAGCGGGTGCAAGTGTTTGGATTACTAAGGACAAAAGGCAAACATAAATAAGATGTTAGGATCAGACCGACGTTGTATTGAACGCACATGTAGTGAAAACTAATTGAATGGGTGACGGAGGAGTAGAGCGGCATGCGGTGGAGAAAACGCTTCTTTGTTTGGCCTGCCAACTTCAGCCTCTTAGCTCAGGGCTTATACAGCCCAGGCAGACAGAGTCTATTGTTGCGTGGAGAAGCAGGGCATCAAAAACAATGTGACCCCATTCGACTGCCTCCAAGTGTGAGGATGCAAATTTTTCTGCTAAAAGTGCAACAGAGCAAGTCACAAGCAAGCGAGAGAGAAAGAGAGAGAGAGAGAGAGAGAGAGGAAGGGGGGGAGAGATTAAGCAGGGCTCGGTGGGTAACCTGACATTTCTCTGCAACCCGGGAGGAGATAAAAAGAGAATCTAAAAAGAGAGATTTATAACTTGCTTTTGCGTCTGCCCAAGTCATTGCTCTGTGCTGACGTGCAACGTCTGAACTTGAAAAAGACGCTTGTGACCCTTCCGTTCTTCTGATGTATTTTTTTTTTTTTAGACCGAGAGAGTCAATGAGCAGAAAGAGACGTAATTTGTAAAAATCGCATGCGAAGAAAATCAAATTTCAAAGGCATTTTTAACAGCATGTGGCATGGAGCTCGGGCTTTGGTTCTGTGAGGGATGAAAAGGCTAATATCCCTTTGATGTTCGCTAAATATCCTAATTAAGATATGGTCTTAAAATTAAGGCAAGAGCCATCATTCTTGATGAACTTTCGATTAGTTTAACAAAAATTTCAAACTGATGCTTGCCACAAATAACTTAAAAGTTGGAACAAAAGTAAAGTAGCACTAAAAACTAAAAAATTAGCAGGTTTGTAGATGACATGTTTGTGTGTCAATACTGCCAGGGCAGAAACTAAGTAAATGTATTGAATTTGTAGAAAATAAATAAAGATGCAGTATTCAGTTGGCTACTGAAGCAACAGATTCCTTCATTTCCCCAAGGGATTAATAATAATTCGATGATCCATCCATCCATCCATCCATCCATCCATCCACACTTAAGTTACAATGTGCCTTTGGTAGCAGTTCCAGGAAAATGTCCACAAATATGTTTGTGGGCAAGAAGGAAGAGCAAAAACACTCTCTCGTTTCCAGCTTTAGGGAAGACATATGTAGCTGGTTGAAGACGGTAGCCTGACTTATCCACCCACCACAGGCCTCATTTAGACAGCATTAAGCCTTGACCCCTGCCCTTTATTTTATCAATACCATACCTATGGTCTGACTAACTCAAAGATGTACCCCAAGTCCACAACAACCTGGGATGTAAACTGTTCCATAATTATCAGACCCTTTTGATCCCTGCACATTCATGTGGCTCTAAAGACATTATGGCATATCTGCAACAGACCGATGCTCCCTGTGGGTATTCAAGGTAGAGCTGCACTAATAGCTCTGGGTCTGCTCCTCCTCCTCACCACAGCCTCTCAGACTTCACAATAATGTCCCCGGTGGTCATCCGCCTCAGTCACATCCTCACAACACCACTTAAAGTAATGAGCTTTCTCCAACTTGAATAATGACCCTTTAGAAACACCTCACTGTCCAAACATTACAGTCACAGAGAAAGGCAGAGGTAGAGACGGCCTAATGAGTAAGAACAGACTCTCAGGGCCGTCACTGGCCAAACTGAGCTGCACCATCATCCTGGATTATGGAGCCATCCAGTCAACGCAGCAGCGTTTCAGTAATGTAATGCCACTGACCTGCCAAGTGTCCATTAAGTTTTCATTACGGGACCAATGGGTGGAATTGAAAAATCTCCCACGCACAAGTGTTCACAACACAGGCTGCTGATATCTACTGTGAAATATAAAAAAAGCCTTTTATACAGTGAATCAGTGCTAAAAAAATACATTGTATCTTTTTCAAGACCAGCAAAGAAAAGACTATAAATAAATGCCACCTCAACACAACGATGCCACAACTTGACAGTCATACACAATTCTATACAGGAACAACTGTTGTGTGAGCATTCACGGCGTTGCTGACTTAAAATGAACTGGCTGGCCTCTACAGACTGCAGTCAGCACTCTTGGTCCAAATTCTCATGGCTCGGTCACCTATTGGGGTTAAAGGGCATTTAATAATTCATAGAAAACAACAGCATAGCAGTCAGACAAGGGTGGCCTCCCAAGATGCAACAGGGAACAGAAACCTTTATCACTGCCAAAACCCTCTTAAGAATGCTGGACAATTTCTTACTCCCTGCAGACTACCACAGAGATTGGATTTGCTGTGGCCAGGTCAGTAGCGTGGCTCTCGGTTCATATGTTGGTCTAATGTCAAGTGCTGTGGCAGACATACTATATGTCTGCTTCCTGTGGTTGACTAATGACCTTTTGAGTGTTAATCTGTACCAGGGCTTAGTGCAGATAAGCAGGAAGTAAACCTGTGCTTTTGTTCAAATGTTTGTCCCTTGCCCTAATCCCCGATGCGATGATCTTTGGCGTCTCTTCCCATCTCCCATAAGACACGACTTTTATTTCCCATGAGAAAATCCACATCTTGCGGCTAAACCTTTCCAGGTCTCACTTTCGAAAGCCCAGCTTTCAACAACTGAACCTGCTACTTCCACGACTGTTAGCAGCTAACAATTACAAGAGTAGCGGATTGTTAATAATAAATGTGCATTCATTAATCAACATGCCTGTAAATAAAAAGAGAATTGGAATGCTTTACTGAATCGATTTCACCCCCTCCTTCTGAGTGGTGGACTTGTGTTTGGCGTTCTCCGCTTCCCTCACTTTATCTTCTGGCCAACAGCTCTGATGGCCAGCTGAGTGAAAGAGCCAGCTGCCGGCCAGCTGCCGGCCAATTGCAAGCTGCTGGCCAACTAATGCTGGGGACAGGGCATGTGGCTGTGTTTGTGAAAAATTAGTCTTAATACCAACCAATGCCAACGGAAAAAAACGATTTGAATTAAGGGTCTCTTTGGCCAAATAAAATGGTTTTGGTTTTTCTAAATGTCCCTACATCACTTGTCTTTTTAAACATCTGCATCAGAGTACATTGGAAATGTGATTCTGTGTTTGGCTGTTGAACATCCAGCCTCCCTCACCCACCCTCACCCCCTTGTTACTTTTGTTGGTTTAATATGATGCTAAACATCTCTGTGGAGGGGCTTTAATTCATCCTGCCTGACTAGGAACAGACAGCTGCACACTTATCCTCAACCCCTAAATATACATCTCGTCATCTCACATATACAGCACGTCCATGAGTGGGTATGCATGCACAAACACTGTTTACTTTTTGTGCAGTTTTGTGTGCAAGCCACATCAACATTCTCTAAATGCAAATGTGTCGATATAGGAAATGGGATTAGGATTCACTGTGATATAACGAGTTAAGAAACAATCCCTTGTCAACAGCTTTCTTTTCGTACTTCCACATACTTCTACAGTAAAACTAGAACCATAAACTTTTTTTGCTCAACTACTAGTATCTTGAAAATGGTCAAAATGTGTAAGCAGCCCAGGGTGAAATTTAGTTGGCTGCAAAATAAAAAAAAGGCTCTCACTTTATGATTATGAAATGTGTAAGCAGCCCAGGGTGAAGTTTAGTTGGCTGCAAAATAAAAAAAAAAAGGCTCTCACTTTATGATTATCTTAATCTAATGTTTAACTTGTCCATGTGAAATACTTGTTTAATATTAATTCTTGCCCTTACTCCTCTCCAAACTCATCTTAAACATTAAAATACCTTTTAATTCAAGAATCTTCAATGTTCCCCAAAAAATGGACCACTTCTATAGTTGTACATGATACAAATACACACACACACACGAGAAGTAGAATGTATAAAAGCAGACATGGCACCTCAGCCACATCAGACACAATCGACCTTTTGCGGATCAAGAAGTGTGAGATAAAACCACAGGGTGACATCTGAATATGTGTATGTCAATTCCTTTATCCTTTCTCCAGTCCCGGGCTCATGTACAGGACATGTGACAAACAAGATTGTCCTTCACTCTGAATTTACGGCCGACGTGTGCCGAGCTGCAGCCATAAAAAGGATAACCGAAATAAATCAGGACTTTGTGAGCTGTACAGTCGGCACCAGCTTTCTTCTTCTGACACTCGTTGACTATTAAGTGACAGATGTCTAATGACACTGATGAAGGAGGCGCTGAAAGACGAGTTGCTATTATGGCCTCCTTTTGGTGTGTCATTCGTCGTCTGTGGGGCCATCAATTCCGCCGCAGTCTGGGTTAAAATTAGGCTGCGGAGGAACGGAGCTCCAGCAGCAGGGTGAACAGAAGTGACATCATTTATGTGCATGCGACTGGTGTCACCATGTTCAGGTGCAAAGTGAAAGAAAAAGCAATGACTTTCTAAAAGATATCTCCTGTGACTTAAAAAAAACAAACATATAAAAGACGCCTGTTAGATAGCACACACGAATGTTATTCCTCAGCAGTTTAAACTTGGCATAATTATTGCAGTTGGCTTATTTACCCGTCGCACTCCCCGACGACCACTGCCAGCTGCGTCTGACACAGTATTGTCTCTCTGCTCACAGAGGTAACTGTGTGATTCAGTCCGGGGTGAAGGACAGAACAGACCTTTTTTTCACGGAGCATAATGAAAGCTCACAAAAACAAACACGAACACTAGTGAACAATTTCAAAAGTGTGTGGACGTTCTATGAAAATTCCAGCACGGCCTCCCCGGGTCTGGATTTAACAAAAAGGGTCTTTTGTCCGACAAGTTACCTCATCAGCACTGGCAGCCCACAGCCAGCCCCCCCCCCACGTACAGACACACACATGCACATGAAATCAGGCTCACATCAGAATACCAACCTTTTCTAGCAGGAGTGTGACACATGAGACGTGGCCCTCGCCACAGGCATACAGCAGTGGAGATAACTCATGTTTGTCCAGAGCCTGTGGAGGGAGAGAATGTAGCTAGCATAAGTACAGCATACGAACATATGCAAAAGGGCATCATATATAAAGAATACAATTGGTTTAAATCAGGTGTCTCAAACTCAGAGACTCATTTTGCCAAAGGCACTTGTATCAAAAAGGTGGAATTAGGAGATAATTTTGTCCAAATACATCAACCTTTAAATTTATAACTAACAAAATAAATGCCTGGTATCAAATGACACAGTGATAGGGGAACTCTGATCTAAAGCACATTAAAAAATGTTTGTTTCCTTCTTTGATATGGACGCATTATCTCAATATCTATTTTTACACTTTGCAAAACAAACAACTCAATTAGATATCCCTGAATTTGCCTTATTAACCCCCCCCACACACACACACACACAAAATCTTCAGTAACAAACGTCAATAAACTCTTTGGTGAATCTAAAAGCTCTTGCAAATTACTATTATTACTAACACTGGAGGGGGTCTCACAAAGAGAGCACAGAGATCTGTCTGTCGACACCATTCAAGAACAGTGCCAGTAGAGTTCCAGATGCAAATTGGGCTTAATTTTAGGTCTGGTTAATATGGACGGTGGTTGAGTGAGTGAATGAACAATGGCTGTAATGAGATACGACAAGCCGAGCTAGATGCGCTGTTTGTGTATAAACAAACTGATAATCCTTATTTGACCACTAAGAACAGACCGTGAAAAGAGACGGCTTTCTGTTTTACAAATTCATGCAAAAACGGTGTGATACGAGGAGCTGGCACTTGCTTACGTTAACGTCGGCTCCCTTTGAAATAAGGTACTCCATCACGTCTCTGTGTCCATAGTCCGCAGTGTAGTGCAAAGGCTTCCTACCTTCTTCTAAGGTCCGGTTGATATCCTCAGCCTACAAGAGAGAATGAAACAAAAATTAGAATATACTCTGAAGGGAAACAGGACACCACCTCCTCCACATCACTTCAATGTTATAGTGGTTAGAGCTCAGACTGACAAAATAGATTGGTGAGAAAAGACAGGCCGTCACCTCATGGTACTTACAAAGCACATATGCATGTGAGTGTGTATCAAGGAGAAAGCACGTCAGAAAGCCGTGGAACGTCTGCTTTGTAAGAACTGGACCAAACAATTACTTCCAATACTAGTACTAATTGTGAAAACACAGGCGTGGGAATGAACTGCTGTCATTGAAAAAAAAATATCTGTGCAAAAAGACTGCAAGGCAGTGACATTTTACTTTCAATATTTTCTTTTATTTATGGAGAAACTGCATTTATTGACTATCATTGACTTTGTTCTGTAGAAATAGCAGTGTTTAAGGAATGAGAGTCTTTCAAATAAAGCGATGTTTTGAAACAGGAAGTATGAGGGACAGGTCACACAACTGTGACTGCGAGAAGCTTTAGTTTTTGTTTCTGTTGTATATATAGTCAACTGTACAACAACACAGAAGAGTAAGCCACATGTCTACGCTCTCATTTCTCTTGCAACTGTTAGCTGGATTCTTTTTTTTTTTTTTACTGTATTAGAGGATGCAGCATTGTTGTAAAATCCAGATATGTCATATCTGAATTTAGTCGAAAATGATTTAAACCAGTCAGCCAAAAGCAGTTTGAATGGCCGTTACTAGTCCACAGGTGTTTTAGACGTTTCCAAGACATCCACATGGTGGGATGTAAGAGTATTTGTATTGAATATTTTTACATTTCAAAATCAGATTAAAAAAAAAGCCATTGAAAAAAGTGAACATTTTGTCCCTAGTCTGTTTGTCTGTTAAGTAAAAACAATTAAATTGCTATTGCACTTGAAGAGTAAGTGTACAAACGTGTGGGAAAACTCTATGGTTGGTCGTAGGTGGATATCATGTGACAGGACTCCACCCCTACACCTGAGTCTGGGATATCAGAAATCCTTGGGCTATGTGGTTCCCCCAGGGGTGAAAACAAAAAGAATGAATAAAAAACAAGTACGGGTAGTGGACCGTTTGGAGAGATAATGTATATTTTTTTATTGTATTTTTTAAAAAAAATTGACAGAAATTACAACGGAACTGAATATTTACATTGACGAAAACAAGAGCCAGAACCAACTGACTTCCTTGCGGCCACTTCCTAGTTTAAAGTTAATGTTTTATTTGATGGAAGAAATTAACATTGGTTTCCACAGACTAACACTGGCCAGAACAGCTGATAAATTCAAAGCTGTTACAGTTAACACATGATTGAATTTACAAGTGTAGTCTCTGGTATTTGTGGTTCATGTGAATGTTACACAATAGCTTTAAAAGTTAACCCTGAAGTATTTAATGAGAACAGATTTATTACAAATAATATATAACAAGGCACTCGCCCTAAACTACCATTATTATATTAAATATAACTTCAACGTTGTATTTCAGTGCACACATTTGCTGGTCATGTCTGAACCACCGCCTGGCTCTGATCACCAATCACCTCTATCGCTAACTCCAGTGAAGGTCAAGTACACCCCACCGAAGACAATTCATTATCCTCTCATTCCCACTGAATACATTAGCAATGACGGATATAGCACATACTGTAGCTCAAACCTCTTTAATGGAGTTGAAATATCACCTGATATGATGGCACTTCCAACCATTGAGAAAATATAAAAAGAATATTCTGGTGTAATTCCCACTATCTAAAATAAGAAGATGGCAATACATGTCTAGAACCTGACATTTATGTTTAGGAAGTACAATGATCCAAGATGATGATCAGAACTGAGAAGAAATTAACATCAAACCTGGTGTCAACATAGAAACAGAGTAGCCAACTGCCCTGCAGTGATACTATTAGAATCGTGTTTCTTTTTGTCAAGTTAACAGTGTCTTAAATGTTGGACATGCAAGAGACAGATTTGGTACATTAGACTTTTTAATAGGAATTTAAAAAAACAACATATGTTGTGCAGGAACCTTGATTTGTATGTTTTTTTCTTCTGGGTACTCATTATATTAGCTTAAAATGACCTGTTTCATACCTACTCAAACTCATTCATGAACTGGACAAAATGAATAACCCTGATGTGTCATGTCAAAGACAGCAGCTTTATTCTGGCACATCACAATTGATCATCATCCAGAAACACTGCACTTTGACAGTTAGTGCACCTGGGATATAAAAGTTAAATACTTTTTTCGCCCCCTTTTCAAATATAAATAAATAACCAGAAACAAAAATAGATGGGTTTGAATTCAAGATTAAATTAAAATACACGTGAACCGTATTTACATATTCAAAAGGTAACCGTACGTGCAGGTATGCAGTCTGGTTATACTGTAAGACACATACTGGCCTCAGTAAAGAGAATTATTTCAACGCCTTTTGAAAACAACCACATGTCCAAATGTTCAGAAACTTAACTTTAATATCTCTAGAATATAGATAGTATGGTTAGAATTCTACACATTGCGTCTGAAAGCCGTGGTTTGTTCTGCTGATACTGCTAAGACCCACGCCCACCGGCGAAACACAACGAGGGCCTAAATCCTTGGTTAGCTCGAATTCCTAAAAGCTACATTTAGAGTAGCATCAGTCAGCGGCGGAGGCAGTGACTGGTACGGCTCAAAGTCCACTCATAAAGTGCACAAACGCTACTGTGGCTAATAACACTGGCGTGCTTGTGTATCCAGATGACCCATTACAGGAAACCCCAGCTATTGAAAGATACTAAGTTAGTCTGTTTTGTACACAGCAAAGTGGAGACAGTTATCTGGTTACAAAGCTGAAGCCACCGAATATACATTTACAACCCAGACCGCCGTGTCAGTGTAGGCGACGCGCTAGCCTGGGACTCGCCCACTGGCTGCTCCACAGGTAAATGTTAGCACCGCTTGCTGGGAACTATGGCAACTTTACCATAGCGGTCATTTGCAACAAAAATGATTAGCCTTATATTATTAATTCATGTTCCGCCAAAGCACCACCGAGGATAAAAGCCTTTAAAGCGCATTAGCGTTCGTTACTGTTGCCTCACATTGTACTGATACTAGCCACCGTTAGCTCCGTGGCCAAGTAGCTGGGCTAACGCCCTGACGTTACTTGGATGAAACTGCTACAGCCCTTAACCGATGGACCATCTCTTAACTCACCGTTAGTTTGGTTTTGACCTCATCTATGTCACCGGTCTTCAATGCCCAAATCAACTCTTTATCCCCCATCTTCCTGCTGTATGCTCCGGTGTCACTCGTCCCTCAAACTGCAGTGGTCAAGTTTAAAGTTAGCTAGCTTAAGCTAATGCCAGCTAACGTCAGCACAAGACCGTAGGACGGAGATTAGATCCGAGACAAAATAGTTCGAGTCGGTACGACAGTTAGTCTCGTAGGCAATGTGGCGAAAGACGGGGATCCGCCTTTTTGCGAGCCAGAAGCATTTCCGATGCAGCAACCCGGAAATTAACTTTTGAAGGGGGAAAAGCTAAATGGTGCATTTGTGTGCTGTTGTAAATTAGAAACTACAAAAAATCAAACTTCGAAATCAATTATTTCTTCTCGCTCCAGTGAAAATATTTAAACCCAAATGATCTAATAAACTAACATGTAGATATTTTACGGCCATTTCATAATATTTAATGGCTTACTGTATTTTTTAAAGTTATGCGGTAAATATTCCTACAGTCATGAAGATATTGAACACACCATAGCTTACCGTGCCCTAACTTCAAAAAGACATAAATGAAATGAAAAAATAGAAGAAAAATAATAAATCTGACGGAAAACACAATACAATACAAAAGACAAAATTATGACACGTTAGTTTTGAATATATATTTACATAAGTTAAAATTTTAAAATTAAATTCAAATTTAACAATTGACAAAAACAATAAAACATAGATAAATCGCACATATTATGTTTTCCACAGTAGAGATTAACCCAACGAACAGTTGTTTAAACAAGTCAATATAAATGCTAATGCACGCAATTGTTGACTCCTTAGCTATGAGGGAATGATTTGCATCACATGACTGGGTCATTAACCCTGGGAGACCCCATCAACACTGTAACATATCTGAACAAGACATCTTGTCCTCAGCTTAGGGATCTGAGCTGAATAAACTTTGACCCTTTCACCAACAATCAATACAACTTCATGTTCATGCATTCGTATCAGGAAGCAAGAGGGGATCCCCCTTTCAGCCCGCCCCTCTCCCGACAATCAGTAGACCTCATGACTGATGATGTTTTAGCTCAGTGTGACTGGTCGAGGGTTATTTTAAAGCCACCTTGGAAATCAATGCATTCATTGCAATACCTGCTGGACGCAATCAGCGCCAGTGCAACGTGTCATCTAAGAAGAATTGGAACCTTGGAAATCAATGCATTCATCGCAATACCTGCTGGACGCAATCAGTGCCAGTGCAACGTGTCATCTAAGAAGAACTCCTTGATCAGCCCCTCTTCCCTGACAAATGGCGGCTCGGCTTTAGAAAGACAATGTGGCAGGAGGAGGAGAGGAAGGGAGAGGCAATCATTGTTGTACCTTGATCTGTACAAGATCAAGGGCAGAGCAAACAAATTCACAGCTGTTTTATGAAGCGCTGCCACTAGAGTCTCTGAAATACTCTCCCTCCTTTTATTTTCTTCCTCAATAACCTCATTTTCCCAGTAAACTTGCGGCTCTTTTTCCCGGTGAAATATACGGGATGATGAAGATGAAATCATTGTTGTACTGTCATTGCACCAAATAGGCCTCTTGAAAAAAAAAACAATTTTGTCCAGAGAATGAAAAGGCCGTAACTCAATACAGCCATATGATGAAAATAAAAATGCCACTAATGAGGTCCCACTACCTTCCCATCCTCTTCTCCTTATCACTCCCTTTTACGAGGTTTCTCCGGCGCACACCTTTTTCACCAGCTCCTCTCTCACACACATAAATATAATATAGGACTAAGCAGCTCAAGAACAGGTATTCAATTATTTTAGGTGAAAGCAATGAAGCGCCCTGATAGGGAAAATTCAGGGATTCTTCTTCATCCAAACGCTGAGGACACGCATGACTACATCACAGGTTTCCTCCTTGTTATGCTAATGCGACACACGTTGTGACTAAAATTACTCCTGGGATGGGTAATTGCAAGTTCGCATGTGCTTTAAATGGATTCAGTTCAAATCTGTGGCTCTTATAATGACATATGCACACTAATTCACAGCATTTTATTTCTGATTTATTGAAAGTATAGCAGAATTTTATGCATATAATTCCTATTACACTTCAATAGGATCGACGGCACAGAACCTCAATTTTTCAGTCTATTAGCAGCACTCAGACCACAGAACTACCGTACTGCTATTATGCCATAGTACTGTGTCCATTGAAGAGTCAAGATGGGGCCTAGTATAAAAACCAATGCAAAATATTCCACAAGATATATAATTATCCTTGCAGATTTTTTTTCATAAAATTCAGTTAAGGTCTTCAGTCCAAAAGCTATATTTGGAATATGTGAAAGAACAGTTTTTATACTGAGAAAACAGAAATACCTCATATCCTCAATGAGAAATTGGAATAAAGGTCAGGCATTATGAACCCAGAGCTGGAGGATCAGATATAAAAATATATATAAAAAAAGATAAAAGATACCTGGAGCTGTTAAAGAAGATCTTTGTTCATGTCTTTCTTCAATTCCTTTGTGTATATCAGCACTGTGCCCAACTAAACAGGGCCAACGTTTCAGCTAATAAACAGTTGTATTGCATCATGGGTCAAATGCCAAAAATGTAACTATTAGCTGAACTTTGCATTAAAAACAATTCCTGGATCTCGTACAGTACTTTGCCGTGGGTGATGTCAGCACCAAACCTCTCCTCTCAGCTGCTGCTGCTGCTGCACCCATGTATTACACATGGAGCACATTTGGTTTCTAAACTGGGGATGTGTCATAATACAGGCGCCCGAGCATCATCTGGTTTTTCAGCCACGAGATTTCAAAAGTTTTGATAAATGCTTTCTAACTCGAGATACTTTCTGAGTACAAGATTTTGGGAAAAGTCATTAAAAAGTGGAAAGTGGAGGAAGATGTATTTCAAGGGCAAAAGGGAAGAGATACTTCCCCATCCAGTACACCTATGATCTCGGGAGAAAATCTCTGTCAATGCCTGCAGTGCAGAGATAAAGCTATATCGCTTCATGGTTCATATTTGCAGACATACAATAACCACCCAAGGTTATGGTGTTGAACAGACTGCCTGTGGAAACACCTGGACATTTAAGTTAATGTTGGGAGGCAGGGCTATCACCCCAGACTGTTGACAGGAAAGGAGCAGTGTTTGAAATTAAACACACACACACACGGGTTCCCAAAGAACCAATTTGATTAATTAATCACCAAATAAATTAAACCAAAAGCTGCAAAAATGTTTCAACCATTTAAATGACAGAGAGGAAAGGCAACAATCAATTCATAATGCAAAGACGCTGCAGAGCCCCATGTGGTGGTTGTGGAACTACACCTTACCCTCAATCTAAACTAAATTTTGACGCACAAAACACGCTTTTGTGGCATATAATGCACTTTTTTGATCCTCCTAAAATATCCCACAAGTATACTTTACACAGAGAGACACACACACACTCTTATACACACAAGGAGATTGAAAAGCTCCACAAAAAAAAAAAAAAGAAACAAAAAAAGCCTGAGGCGTTCAAAGACTTCCATCCACCGGGTCTTGTTTTCAATAAATAGACACTGGCAGCAACTAATTCTGAGGACATCGATTTCGGGAAGCATTAGCAGTAATCTGTCAGATGCTGAATGGTCTTTGTCAAAGCCAGCAGACTGGAGTGGGCAGACATGCCCACGTCCTCTGACTCCACATGCTGCCTCCCTCCAGAGGTCAGGCTAAAAGATCCTGTACTCATAATGGATGTGTGGGCATGAGGAAATAAGCGAGGGTTAGGGTGAGACCTGTCTTCAAGCCGAGGAACGTTGACATTCAATCCTTGCAAAAAGTCTCTATGAGCGTGGGATTGGAGACACCGTTTGTGGGAAGACACAGCACAGGACAATTTTTCTGCCACTGGAAGGAAACGGACAGATCGAAGAAAAATTCACTGGTGTTTTCACAGAACCCCTGATGAAGTTGTTACCATGAGACCTATGGGGGGGGGGGGGGTTATCACTGTAATTCCTAACAACCTCTAATAAATCGAGCAGAGACACCAGTGTCTGTCTGTTGCTCCCTTGCGTTGCCCTCCATCATCTAGCCTTCACTCCCATCAGGCAACACTCTCTCCCATCATCCATCACTAAGAGGCGTTGTCTCTGTACCCCGCTGCCCCCATCACCCCTGAGGAACGCTGACTAGGGGCATGTGCTTCCTGTGGTAGATGTGATTCCTGATAGGATGTGACAACTTTATTAGGCACAAATCAGGCAGTGGCGATTTCATTCTCTGCTGTGAGCCGTGGTTTCCAGCACGAGGTGGGATTCTTTCTCTTTTTCATTTCTCTTGTTTGTTTTTTTTAAAGGTAGTCCATTCTCTTGACCAATTACAACATGAGCCTTAAATCACATGGTCTGGATCATTCCAATCCAATTGTTGGGGAACTGCCTCATCCAAAACGAACACAACTGTCACGTCCAACCATCGTTAGCGCCCAAGATTCATGCGGTCACATGTTGCAGCGGGTTGTCATTCCCCGCACACAGTGTTGATCATATACCATCTGCATGGGTTCATCATAAAACTCCTCTCCCTTTACGGCCGCCATTAATCACCATTGTGTGAAACTGACGGCACTGAAAACTAGACAGGTTCAAATGGTAATAAAACAAGGATGGAGTCGAACACATTTTCCACATATCCAGAAAATTCCATTTATGTCAGGTGAAATGATTTATTTAATGCGCCACAGAACTAGAGAGGAGAACCCTCCCACTCCCTCCACCCCCACTCTCCCCCCCCTCAGTTCGTCACAGCACTTGGTCAAATGGAGGGAATCCTGAGGAGATTAGCATACAGGCGTGCTCCGCTAGCTCCTCACATGAGAGAAGAAAAAATGGAAATGGTCCAGTTCGAGCAAATTGAGGATGTGGTTGGATAACAGAAGGCACGGCGAGCCGAAGCATTTCCTCTGCGCTCTGGCATTGTTAATAGTAGGCCCCCTAGAGGGGAGATCAGAGCAGAGAGATACAGTAGAGGAGGCCAGGGCAATTTGCATAAGTTCTATATCCTCTATTTCAGTAAGATGATAGATTGATGTTACATAACCACAGCACTGCTGTTTGGAGATGTAAAGTAAATAAAAACCGAGCCTCCGGTGGAGGTTGTAAAAGAGAGTTATGACACCCCATCAGGGTTTCTTACGCTGGTTTCGGAGGACAGAGAACATTTCCTTCCTCCTTCCTAATTAAAGCCTCAAATCCCACTTCCTGTCCCAGTTGAGCTACGT